CAAGATTTCGAGGAGGTAAGATATGCTCAAAATTTCAGATTGGAATTATATGGTATTGATGTTGTAATGTATCATTTTTTAGTTATTCAAATGCATATATAAAACCTTTCATATCCTCCACGTGCACAATTTTAAAGGCTTAGCAACTTATATCAAACAGTAACCGAGTACAAAGATCATAACTGGAAGAGATAATTATTTGCTTTACTTCTTTATTTACAGTTTTATTCTTTAAGAAAAATAAGTTTAAGAACTTATTTCAAAATAGGAATAATCTATATACATATATAATGTATAATAATTGTCTAATTTTCAAAATACTAGTCTACTAAAACACAGCCAAGACAGGTTACTCAGAACTGACCAAATTTCAGTTTTGTTATTTAATATGGTAACATGAGTGCACGTGTGTCGCATCATTGTAACTTCTCTATTGTTAGCCAGGCATGGCTGAAAGGTCAATATAATCAAAATAATAAATATATATATAAATGTGTAATGTTATGAGATTTAATCTATTTAGTCTAAACATTTATATCTTTGTGTTATAATATCTGTTCATTCTAGAAAGAAAGAAGTATAATTTATGTTTATTCCCAAATTTTTATGGTGGTTGCGAGCTCAGTCAAATCTAACGAACCTGTACAGAGATTGATTACTGAAAATAATAGATAAAATATAAACATTTTTCTTAAGAAATGTTTGATAAGTATCTAAACATTATAACGATTTTGCATGTGAAATTTGAAAATTTTCTAATGCCTAAAAGTATTTCTAATCTTAAAACAAAAATTACTTTGCATAAGAGATAGGTAACATGTGAAAAGAAAAAAATGCACAAGAAAAACATTGCTTTACAAACCTTAAGACTTAATAAAAACAAATTAGATATTTTGCATATGAAAACATTATAATGTTTACTGATAATCTGCCAAACTTAACATTTGCTTACTAATTTCAAAGTTATAGCATGAAAGAGTTAATAATGAAAAACTCAAGCATACTGCTAAATTAAAACGTGTGAAATTCTCACTATTATGTTGAGCTGAATACAAGACATTAAAATTCTAAACATATAGACTTACTATCAGTTATTGTGAAAGTTTCATCTTCATTTTTTATCAGTTTGATATCAAACAAAACATTCTGCTTGTCATCAGAAAATGGTTCTACCTCCATCTTTAATACTCCAATGATTACACAGGAGCATCACCTGTATATTCTGTAAAAAAAGTTTCACATTAAGACTACAGAGAAATAACTTAAGAATCAGAAGTTGATCTTACAAGGATTAGTATAAAATTTTGAAATATAAATTCACATTATCTGAAATAAAATGACTTTAATACAAAATGAGTAGTAAAACACTCAGAAAACCTTTACCAACAATTTCTAAACATGTAATGATTGACAATTAAAATTTTACCCTATTGATTAGATTAAATACACTTCACATGTACCATCACATGAAAAACTGGAACTATTTTAATAACTTTGAATCATTCAGGAGTTGAATTACTAACTTTCAGCCTTTCCACAGATACCAAATGATTTTCTTCACGTTTATATAATTTCAACAAAATACGTGATAATACCATGTCGATAAAGCAGTACACTGTACTACCCACTACAGATATAAGTAACACTTGACTGGAAGTCACATGACTTTTAGCATCCTCAAGCGGCAACAAAATACGTGATAATACCATGTCGATAAAGCAGTACTACCCACTACAGATATAAGTAACACTTGACTGGAAGTCACATGACTTTTAGCATCCTCGAGCGGCAACAAAATACGTGATAATACCATGTCGATAAAGCAGTACTACCCACTACAGATATAAGTAACACTTGACTGGAACT